TTCTAACCTAGATACCCCTGGTTAGTGCTAAAGTAAAGAGTATTCCCTAGAACCTTTTAACCTAGATACCCCTGGTTAGTCCTAAAGTAAAGAGTATTCCCTAGAACCTTTTAACCTAGATACCCCCTGGTTAGTGCTAAAGTAAAGAGTATTCCCTAGAACCTTCTAACCTAGATACCCCTGGTATACCTCTTTATTTGCCTTTTAGTGGCTCAATTATAATAATTTATCACTTTAACAGACACATATCCTAAATGTGCATGATTATAAAGTCTAGTTCATTTTATAGATTATCCAGTAATGGTAAAATGCAAATAAGTTCAAAAACACTGGAGACCAACTTCTGAAGATCGACTCATTGTTATAAAACTGTCATTCAGAAAAAGAGAGCGTCAAGAACCTACCCATTAACAAATTACATGAATGGCTAGTACCAGAGGCATTGGAGCTATATAGCTGGAAATATGAATGGCTAGCACCCTGAGGTGTTGGAGATATATAGAGGAAAATATACAACACAATATACACTCACGAGGGGGTAGCACAGATAAAAAGAATGTCCCGAAGGCAAGTAAGGCACTCAAGTAGGTATACAGAGTACTTTACAATAGACAGAAAGGAATTCAGACTTCCTACGATTTTAGTCGGAAAACAACAACAAAATTAAGATATTTGCAGTGTGACAGATAAATATCGATACTGAGAATAAATCAAACATAAATATAAGAATTCTGATGATATAAAATGGTAGCAATGTAAGCCATATGATATTCATGTAAATATGCAAATATAGGCTTCATTGTTTCAGTGTACAGCAATAGAAATGTACATGTGATGAATTGGGTGGATTTCCAAATAAATCACCAAGACACACAATTTTGGATAACAGACACACAGGTAATCAATTATCATATGTTGACCATTTGATTAGATTTCAGGGCCACTTGGTGTATCTTGAACACTAATGGAGGGTTTCAATAACAGACACCATTGACTGGGGTCACACATTCTTTACAAATCAAAACCCTTCACTTGATTCTTCACACCCCGTAATAAAAAGAAGAGCCCCTTTAATAAAGACACCAGTTTTGTGTTGCGCTCTCTTTATATCTCATTCACACGAACAACTTCTTTCATGGCTGACATCCATGCCTACTTCTATTGCTCTTCTCTCCAGTTTTTGTTTTGTTTTCAACATCAAGTTTGAATTTCTTCTGAAAAAGCTTTTGACCTTAAACGTGTTAATTGCTAGTTTGCACGGGTTCCTGATCCGCTATACTTATTAGTTGTGGGGTATATTTCCCCGACACAACAACAGCAGACTTGATTCAATAGCTACTCAAGTTTAAAATAAAATTATACCAATTATCTAGACTTTCAATAAGAGGATTACAATCATCTGTGGTAAAGTGTTTCACCTGAATAAGTTTTGTCTAAAGCGTTCTTATTACATTTGACCTATGAGTTTACGATGGAGCAATTCCGCTGTATTAGTAAACTTTTCTTTTCTTCTGTTTTACCGCACAGCGTCAGCAACAGTTAAAGCAAAGCATCTATATTCAAGACCACCAGCAAGAAAGCCTGGGGAGTTTGTAAGTTCTTATACGCAGTAATAATGGTCTTATTAGCATATTGATAATGGTCTTATTAGCATATTGATAATGGTCTTATTAGCATATTGATAATGGTCTTATTAGCATATTGATAATGGTCTTATTAGCATATTGATAATGGTCTTATTAGCATATTGATAATGGTCTTAGTAACATATTGATAATGGTCTTATTAGCATATTGATAATGGTCTCATTAGCATATTAGTAATGGTCTTATTGGCATATTGATAATGGTCTTATTAGCATATTAGTAATGGTCTTATTAGCATATTAGTAATGGTCTTATTAGCATATTGATAATGGTCTTATTAGCATATTGATAATGGTCTTATTAGCATATTAGTAATGGTCTTATTAGCATATTAGTAATGGTCTTATTAGCATATTAGTAATGGTCTTATTAGCATATTAGTAATGGTCTTATTAGCATATTGATAATGGTCTTATTAGCATATTAGTAATGGTCTTATTAGCATATTTATAATGGTCTCATTAGCATATTAGTAATGGTCTTATTAGCATATTGATAATGGTCTTATTAGCATATTGATAATTGCTTAGCTTAATTTAACCGGCAAATATTTCATTAAAATAATGTAAAAAACTTACCCAGGTATGTTTAAAGATTTCTCAGATAAAAGTTATTCAAGGTGTTTTTCAATCATTGTACCTGACACATTTAGATATGAATGTATTTCATATTAACAATGACTGTTGGTGCAACATTTTTCCAACTTTTTATGATTTGTTCTATAATTTTTTTTTTTATTTAGGGCTGATTAAACATAACTTTTCATTGGCTACACATGGCTTGGTTCTTTTTTCTTGTGTGTGACTATAAACATGCACATTTATGAAATTATGTGACTTGAATATCTGGACTAGTATCAAATCATATCACAAAACATTGCATCATGCTATATCCATGAAAATATTCAACTCAGACAAACAGAAAAAGTTGCATAAAAATATGTTTTTTCTAAAATTGTATTCTGAATTCAGTTATTTGATGTCCAGTAAGTCAAAGAAAAAAATAGAGCAGAAGTTTTTAACACCAATAAAAAAAATTTGTAGATTTGGTCCAAAATGTACATTAAACATAAAAATAACTGACATTTGTGTTGATAAACATTGATTTTACCACGTACAATCCAATATGCTCTTCTAATTAAATCATGAGTACAAGTTTTGACCTGGGTGCAACATGCACTAATTACCACTGGTGACTCCTTCTATACCCTCAAATCACCAAGGAAATTACCTAGTTAAAGCTTGGTAATGTTGATATTTCCAACTGTCAAATAAGTTGCCATTATTTTTTATATGAGTCTCACTC